CTCTCCAGTTTTTCAGCAATTTGTGCATATGTACAATCACCATATGAACCTTCGGCAATAGTGTCAAGTACTGCTTTATTGTTATCATCCTGTCCTCGATAGAAATATTCCTTAAGTGACTCTTCATCAATACGGTGATTTGGGACACTTCTTACGAAAGCAGTGAATCTGTCCCACGAGCTACTCACGGACTCTCCAGGTAATGCCACAAAATTGTTGACCCTATCTTTGTGATTGAGCTTCTTGGACACTGGATAGTACTTTGCTCGGAACACCTCTGCCAGTTGGTCCCATGTGAATATTGAGTTATACGGAAGCTCAGTGAACCATACTGCAGCATCGCCTGTCAGTGAAAGAGGGAACACTCGTAATCCAATGACATTCATATCCAAGTCTGGTCTACCTACACAACTTTTGCAAACCACCCTTAGCTTGGCTAAGTGAGAATGTGGATCCTCCGATGGCGATCCTGAGAATAAGCCTCTTGTTGTAAGCATCTGCATCAAGCTACTAGTCACCACAAATGTGTGCCCTGGAGGTAGAGGAGGTAGGACAATAGGTCCATCAGAGTCTGCTATATTGATGTTGCCCCGATTGTTGTCATGTTGTCGTGGGCCTGGTGGACCATGCATTCTCACTGCATCTCCCAATTGATTTTCAGCTAGACCCTGGTTTTCCTCACCAACTACTCTTGGCAGTTGTAACTCAACCGCATCATCAAGATTTACTCCGATAGGATTAACTGGAAGTCCTTGATTGTTCATTCTTCGCAAAGTTCTGTTCAACTCTGGATCGTATGGAGTAAGTGGTTCGCCCTGGCTCCGTGTACTTGGCATACACTAGAGTTAGAACCTGAGAGAGACAAAAACAACGAGCAAAAGCTAAAATTAGGAAATATTTGACTAACGTTCAATAATGTAGTTAAAATAAATCTGAAAGCCAAATTTCCCCGTCAGCGGCGCCAAAATTTGATACGCTCAAATTACACCTCCTTAAAGAAGCATAAGCGATCGTTATCAAGTAAAGAACCCAACGTGTAGGTTGAGGTCGATCCCACGAGGAAAATGGTTTAGACTTTACTTTAACCAACAATTATATTCAATTAGTCAAATTACTTCCAGAAACAAGTAATTAAAGGGGGGATTTTGTGAAACAAATTGTAAGAATTTAGTAAGTAATTAGTAAACAGAAATCAATTTTGGTTGTTATCAAGATGAGAAAATTAACTAGGGTATAGTGTTCCCCACAAGATCATAACGCAGTAATCCTAGTAATAACAATCTTTTCCTAGTATATCACATGCAAAGTGGTAAGTTATGTATCTCTAAATCCTTGGTCCGGCATCTAGAGAATTTCACAATGCACCTTGGTCCGGCTACGTGTGTTTAATTTACTAACCCTTACATATACCTCATATTAGCCATCATAATCGATGTTTGGCTTAGTTATTACTTCGCACCAATCGACACTAGACTATTAGATAGTATCTCACTAAATCTATGTTGATAATTATTTTCTTGTTAATTACCTCCTTGGTCCGGCAAGTAGTAACAAGGCGAGTTCTAACGTTGGACACCGTTAAAAAGACTTCAAAACAAAAAAGTTATCAATGCATGCAAAATTACTAGTCAAGAATTGCTTACTTACTATTCATACTTTGTTAATCGCTCATGGTTCCCACAACCCTAGGTATGGATTTAGTTACCCATATTAGCAAGAACACAATTCATAGTTTTAGATGAAGAAATCATGAACTTACGTAAAGAGAATAATAAACCCAGAAATTCAACTTGAATTGCAAAGCCAAAATCTTCAACACAAACTTAGGAAATCAATAATTGCTAGGGTTGCAAATTAAATCTCCCAAAAGTCACCAAGTAAACTAGAATAATAATGTCTACCCCTTAAAACGAGGTTTACATGCCCTATTTATAGAAAACAAATCCTAAATTAAAAGGGAAACAAATTAAGGAAAGTTTGTTCAGGCACGCGTCTTCATTCCACGAGACTGACTTACGGACCGTCAATGGATCTACGGTCCGTAAGTCCCTTCCGTCAGCTAGAACTTAGAAAATATTTCAGCTTCCAAAAATCAGGTTCTCTGAAGTAAACGACGGACTTGCAGTACGGACCGTAGATCGATCTATGGTCCGTCAATCCCCTCCGTAGCTCCATACTTGGACTCTTCAAAAATCAGGTACTGGAACCCTCGCAGTATCAATCTACGGATCAACAGTACGGTCCGTAGATCAATCTACGGACCGTAAATGGCCACCGTGGTTCCACACTTGGTCAGATTTCCCTGATTTGTCTTCCATACCTTGCCTGCGGATCTATGGTCATCACCTACAGACCATCAATGGACCTACGGTCCGTAGATCACCTCCGTGAATGCCTTTTTTCTGCATTTCTTTCAGCTGTCTCTATACTTCTGCGCCTGAACATCTTCCCTGCAAAATATGATAAAAACACATAAAAACCAATACAAAAAGGCCCTAGACACACACAACTTGTAAGTTAAATGTATTAGAAATACCGTAAACTCGCGGTATATCACATACTTAAATAAGTATTTAATCGATCTTGATTGATTGCACCATTCAACATTAATATGTGTCCCATATTTCATTAGCAAAAATTTATTATGTGGTACAACATATCGATTATCTAAATCAATACCTGATCTCTGTGTAGATCTACCATCATCTCTTCTTCGATATAAAGGATATCCTTCTTCATCAAGTGAGGTAGATGGTAAAAATCTTTTTGGAAAGTGCTTTGTACATTTGCCTTTTTGCATGCAAGGGGATGATTTTCTTATTGAACCACATGGCCCATGCATCATGAAGTTTGTAACAGCCACATAATAATCCGGATCAAGTAATTTATCAAGCAATTCAGCTGAAATAATCACATCAATGTCTCCAACATTTGGAAATTTATCATGGAGAAAAAGTAAGATATGTGCATGAGGCAATCCACGCTTTTGAAATTCAATAGGGTAAATCACTATATGAAGAGAAAAACAAAATATTATTTGTAATTTATGATTTTATTTAAATAAAACAAATTATATTAACTTTAAAATGAAATATAATAAAATAAAGCAAAATAAAGTTCATACCTGCTTTTACTTCTCCAAAAACTTTATTGTCTCTTAAATCTTTTATCAAATGATCCAATTTGATTTTAAAGACTCTTGTTATAATGTCTGGCCGATCTTCTGGATGCAATCCCCTACTATGCACAAATCTATTAATTTCAGGCCATTTGGGATTGCATGTAAATGTAATGAATAAATCAGGATATCCAGCCCATTTACATATTGCCATTGCATCTTGATAATTTTGCAACATTTAACGTGTTCCACCAGTGAAAGTAGAAGACAATATAATTCTTTGTCCTTGAGAAGATGGTTCTGTGTCTCCATGCAAAACTGCTTCTTGTAATCCTTTATATAAATGTGTTCTCAAATTTCTTTGATTTAGTCTATAAAACAATAAGCGAGAAGATTCAATCATTGTATATCCATCAACCAAGAATTGTTGAAATAATCTTTTAGCTGAAACAATTGTAGGTACTTCATTCTTCCTTTCTTGAATTTTATATGCAAAATATTCGCAAGAACTAACACGTTTTCTTCCCTCACTTGATTCATCAATTCTATTTAAAGGAATGTCTTTTCTATAACCATCTTCCCCATAAGGTAGTAGTAATGGATATTGCAAACCTAAATATGTTGCATTAAGCTCATTTATTCTCTAAAGTTGTCCATTTTGACTTTTGATTATCATATCTCTGTCAGTATTTGTTGGTTCAAAATCGCCAACAACCAAAGCTGCTACCTCTGAAACTGATGGCAAGTTATATCCTCTTCCATCTGATCCTCTTCTTCCGATAAGTCTTAGTTTAACATTTGTACTTTGTTCAGCTTGAAATCTATCTCTAACCATATGAAAACTCTTTGCAAGAACATTATGTTTATCAAGCATTTCCTTCAGTTCGATGACAATTTGAGCATGGATTTGATTGTTGCTTTCACCGCTACTACAAAGTGAATAGTAATATGTTGATAATAGTGATTAATTACTACAGTTATAATTAATCTTATATAAAGCATAAATAAATTAAGTACACACCTGATAACATTCATTCTATTTGTTACCTCATTTTCTGTATCATAAATATATAATTGTGCAAATTTTGGAGTAGATCCCTCATTAGGCAATAAGCTTCCAATTTTATGATAATTCTGTCCAGATAATCTAAAAGTTCTTGGCCCCTTTGTTTGATTGACAGATGCATCAATTTTTCCTCCCATTGATGTAAAAGAAAACATGGAATTATAAGTTTGGATATTCTCTCTGAAATGGTTACTTTTTTCACCTACAATAAATTATAGAAATGTAAAGTTGATAAACAAAATTATTGACGTGCATTTATATTTGTATTAAATAAATTAATTTACCTGATCCAAATAATAATTCCTACAACATAGTAGGAGGATCCTTTGGATTGAGAAGCTTTATCTTTCAATGACCACAACACAAAGTGAAAACAGGTCTTTTTTTTACACTTCTTATCAATTCTTTCCGCATACCAAAAGTAAGCGCCGCAATATTGACATTCATAAATTGGATCTCCTATATCCCAATAGTCTAATAATTTTTTTTTGGTTTTTTTTAAAAATATGTTAGAAACAAAGTAATTTGTTTAAACAAAGCAAAGGTTAGGGATAGTAATATACAAAAATTACCTTCATTGTATAGTTTTCCACTACCAAACTCATCTGCTGCCAACATATCTACATCTTCATTTTCATCATGAGTTAGATGATTTGATATTCTGTTATCTGTTACAAATAATATAGAATTTGAATATATTGCAGATGCTTATTGAATATTGTTATGTTCTTTTAGTGATATACCTTTGAAAAATGCCATTTTCCGTTGTTAACATAGGTGAGTATACATTATAATTCATAAATATATACTTACCCTTAGACTTTCTTGAATGTAGATGAACTAATTTACAAATTTACAATAAAAATTAGACATTATCGTGTTTTATGTATAAGAATAGTAATATTTAATATGTATAAATCATGAAATTATATAGTATTTCTTTTAAATCTGAAGTAGATAAGAACGTATACTTCAGTGAAGAAACATATGTGTTATTGAAGATTTATTATATATGATTACTCTATTTTTTAAATTAGTTCACGAAGTTTGCGCACATTGATACAATTGTCAGTGTGCTGTTTAGTGTGAATTTGGTGCGAATGTTTTGGTGCAATTTCGGGGTCTGTTTACGCTGTTTTTATCATGCATGTTTTGGTGCAGTTCCAATGTTTTTCTGGTGGTTTTTTGGGTGCAATTCTAACGTTGTTTTAGAGATGATTCTGATGCTGCTGTTTTGGTTTAATTCAAATGATGTTTTAATATTTTTATTGTGAAAATTTAGTGCAGCTTTGGATCTTTTCTGCTGCTGTTTTGGTGCAACTTTGGGGCTGTAGCATTGTGAATATAAATGAAGATTCAACATGTTATATAAAGCAAGGTACTCCTTCAGCAAATTTGATAGAATTATTATAAATCATTGTTCATTATGACTACCTTTGAACATATATATTGGAAGAATGAAGATGAATTGCTTGGAGCTTTAGAATATCTGATTCCTATTCTGAATATATCAGCTCAGAAATTGATGTGGATCCACCATATTGTTCACCAAAGTGTTGCATGTTTTTTAACATATGGGAATAAGGTATGTCTCTTAAATTGCACTAACGTATTTGTAAAAATCAGCTAATAGTGTGTTGTTTAGATTTTGTATGCAGTAAAGTTAACTTTAATGATCCTTCTGTTACTAATGAATGTAAAACTATAAGTCAGAGAATATAAAATACACATTAAGACAACATGTAGAGGATTAACAACATAAATTAAAAACAACCCCACAAACACACATATATATATATATAGAGTGAGAGAGAGAGAGAATGATAGATAGATATAGATTGAGAGAGAGAGATATAAATAAAGAAGACAACTTAATAGCTTGAATTTATATAATAAACTACATAGATCATCCAACTACCTTATTAAAACATAAATATATTAAAATAATAAACTAAACTTAATACAACCTAAATTAAAACATAATCTTCCAATAACTTCAAATTTGGAAGATAGCTTTAGGTATTCTTTTCCTTCTTAATCACTTTGCGAATTTTGTTGCTGGGTTGTTTGACATTCAAATCGTCTTTAATTTCATGCCTTGTAGATTTTCTAGCAGCTTTGCTACTCTTGGTAGATATCTTTGTAGTTAAATCAATCACATCTTCAGTAATTAATGTACGACACTCTGAAATGCTGCTCTTGTTTGGAGTCTAAAATTAAAATAACATAAAGATTATAAGTACTTCAAGTGTTTTCAATCTGATTAGTAATATAGAAGATGTAACTTATCTAAAGTTAGAATAACTCAAAGAGTTTATCTTCATCATAGCTTTGCTCACATTCAAAAAGTGATTTTTGTTTGAACATTATAAACATAATTAACAATTTATACAAAATTTAAAAATTTGTATGTATAATGTAAACAAATATGTTGGTGTTTAAACACTTACATTAAGACTGTCCTGAAGATCAGGATGACAATATTCTTTTAAAAGAGCATCATCATAGGTGAAATTAACATTTTTATAGACATTATCTTTTTTGTTAATGTTTGAGTCCTTGATCAAAATCTTAAACATAAATTTCTTCTCCATTAAATCACCAATCTCTGTTGGATAAGAACTTTCGTCATCTTCAAGTAATCCTTCTTTCAACTCTTTTGCAGTTTTACCAAGTAGTTGTATAGTCTCTTTATTCCAAAGCAATATTGAAATAAATACAGTGCCATCCATAACAGACAGTTGGAGCCTCTATCTTTTTTTTTATTTTTTTATTTTTTATTAGAACGACCCTTGAGGGGTTCAGGGGCTGAGCAACACCCCCAGGCCTTATCATATATGAAATTCAAAAATACATGGAGGGGGGCAAGTACCTTACCTCCAATCCTATGGTGGGTAGAAGTAAACCTACCTACTAAGGTTAGTCTACTTCACCCAATACAATAAGATGTAAATTAAACTAAGCACCTAGAGAGGATTCCTCTCTTAAGACATAGTATAATTTTCTAACCTGTCTTTGAATTCAGTAGGCTGAGGTAGATTAGGATTAATCCAGATTTTGGTTTGATACCAACAACTACGTACTTAGTAGTTTTCTGATGATTGATATTATACAATGTCAAAATATTTATACAAAATAAATTTGTATTTTAAAATTGTGTTACTGAAATTACAATGTGTAAACCTCTAAATTTGTGAGCCTTCATTAATTGACAAACCACAATCAAAGGTTCATCTGCAGATCCCGTCAAATGTGATTGTATTTGGTCCGCAAGTTCACCCCATAATGTTGTTGACAGTCTATTTTTACTGTATTAATGAAATTTAATTACATTTTAATATATAAATGATAAATGAATATATATAATAATAAACTAAATTTCAAATAATTACTTATCATCTTCTAGAACAATATTGATGAAATAATTATTGTCATCTCCTTGCTTTATCTGTTGAATTGGTTGATATGAAGCAACATGTCCAACAACATCTGCAATAAAATACATTATTAATATATTGTAAATTTAAAATCTAATGAATGGAATAACATATCATTATTACCCAAAAGACTCAGTCTCATCAACATTGTGATGAATTGTCAATTTGTCAAAGGTGCGGATATTGAATATATCCATATGAAAAGAAGGATCTTGAATTTCCTTAACATTTGTAGTCACAGTGAAGTTAAGCTTGTGTTTGTGTGTTGTTGTCTTAAAATTTCATGATGTTTGGGGCAATCACAAAGTAATTCATCCGAAAAACACCAAGTTCATATAGAATTTCTCCGAAATGCTTAATTACTGTCTTTCCAAGTGATGCATGAATACGATCACCCTGTAATAAAACAAAATATTGTTTTATGATAATTGTTTTCAAGTATATAAAAACTATTTGTATGAGTAGTACCTTTTCATCCTGTAAAATCATCTCCAAAGAGTAAGGTATTTCTGATTTGAATTTATCAGGAACTATCCACAATCGAATAACACGAACTTTTAAGTTCCAGTGCATTGATTTAGATGTAATTTCTGAGATTGTGTGAAAGTGCAAAGCCATCTATATTACTGAATATCGCAGAACAATCGACGAACAATGTAAAGGTATGTAAAGTTATTATTGAAAGATGTCTATATATAGTAGGGAAATTTA